CTTTACTGTTGTTATGGAAGTATAAATAAAATATAGTTAAGAGCTAAAGAAATGGAGTTGTTTAAAGGCTTAAAGTGGGAGATGATGAGTACATGGAGAAGGTAACCCACTTATTTTTTTTTTGCTAATGACACTATAAACTTATGTAAACGTATTAGCCAGAAAATGGTAAAGGTAATGGATAAAGTTGTTGAATAGTGTCAACATGCTTTTGTAGAAGGAAGATAAATTAATGATGCAGCATTTGTTATTAATGAGATTGTGGATGATTTGTTATCCTAAAATGGAGATGGGATCTTGTGTAAGTTGGATATAAAAAAAGCATATAATCATGTAAATTAGGTTTTTCTTGATTATATGTTTAGGAGGATGGGTTTTGGGAATAAACGGTGCAAGTGGATTAACTCTATATTACCATTATATCGTTTGCGGTCGTTGTGAATGAGGGTCCATCTTCTTTTTTCAAAGGGCCCTCCAAGGGTTGAGATAAGTGACTCGTTATTTCTCTAACTTTTTATTATTGTTATGAAAGTATTAAATAAAATTTTGTTAAAAGCTAAGAAGATGGTTGTTTAGATGCCTTAAAGTGGGAGAGGGCGAGCACATAGAGGAGGTAACCCACTTATTTTTTGTTGATGACACTCTAATGCTTTACAATTTGGATGAAGGACTTTGCTAAATTTTATATACATCTTAAGTTTCAAGTTATTTCAAGCATAAATGTCAATTTAACCAAGTCTGAATTAGTGAGGTTACTGGGGATAAGGGTGACACTAATAGGTTAGCAAGAGTCTAGGTTGTAAAAGCATGTAGCTGCAATTAAGTACTTGAGATTGTCATTGGGGGCCAATTATAAAGATGTGAAGACGTGGTTATAGCAAGATCCGAGAAGAGGTTGGTGGGATAGGAAATCTCTTGTAAAAAAAGGGGAAAATCACATTCATCAAGAGTAGTTTAGGCGTGATGTCACTAGTGGAGATGAATAAAGTTTTACATGATAAGTGACTTTGGAGATTCATGAAAAAGAATGATATTCTACGATGGATGGTGACAAAAGTAAAGTTTGGTACTACGGATGGTGAATGTATCAAGTGGAAAGTAGGTAAGGGGGACAATATCAGTTTTTGCAAGGATCCTTTGCTTAGAAAGGGAGCATGTAAAGTCTAATTTTCTTGGAGTTTTGCTATCGTACGACACGAGAAAATCTTAACCCATGAGTCATTCAGAAACATTGGAGGAGAAAGGGGATAATATGTGGATGTGATAAAAAATTCAACGATTAAGAAATTAATGAGTATGAGATTTTGTTAAATATATTTTCTTTTGTCTTAATGGACGGGAGTAATAACCAACTTATTTGGACTCTCAACTCTACAGGGACCTTTTCGGTTAGATCTTTTTATAATTATTTGGTTAAGAATGACACCATTACAACTAATTTTCCTTACCAATAAATCTGAAAGGTGGATGCTTCAACCAAAATGTCTTTTTTTTTGTGGGAAATAAGGCATTGGTGTAGTCTCACTATGGACAAGCTAATGAGAATGGAAAAAAGTATGGTGAATGGTT